AAACTAGAAAAATCTGCAAAAAAGCGGCAGAAATGTCTTTAGGGGCTTTTCATAAATATAATGCAGTTTGATGCAAAACTGTATTGGCGAGCTCGGAGGCGTCTTATTTTACTCTGTGAAATGTTTACTCTATCTAATTAAACTATTAACACAAAACTACGGATAGAAGCTAGGGTAATTGAAATTAGAACTTTGGGTTTTCCCAAATCCTGGTTTTTAAACATTTAGAGTTACGCCTCATCGGATAGAAAATTGTTTCAGCTGACCAAAGCATTATTCAGTATTCTTTTAGCTGTCGTGGTTGATGAAAAAAGTCAGAAAAAGAAAAAGCTCATACTTTTGTCATGTACTTTAAGAAACAATCATCATAGTGGTAGAAATGTATGCAGGCATACGTTTACAGGAATCTAATGTATTTCAGTTTGAAACTTGTTATTTCCTGCATTTTCTTGTATGAAAGCCATTCCGGGTCTCCCGTATTTACCCCACTGTAATTCATTCACTGTATCCGTTCGATATTTTGCCAATAAGTTCAATAAACTTAAGATTTGAAACAACGTACTATAGCTTATTTTGTAGCCCTTTCAATTCTACATTTTTCTAAATACAAACTATTCCTAATTTCTATTTGTGAACGAAACTGTGATTATTCTTATATATCACTATGGGTAAAAATCGAGATATCTATCCAGTATTTAGCCAATAAATCTATGAGGATAAACTTTTAAAACAAAATATTGTAGTTCATTTTGAAGCCCAGAAAGTTCTCTATCTTTCAATGTATGGACTTTGGTCAAAGTCGTAGGAAAAATTTGAGAAACAAAGTGGATAACTTTCATTGAACTGGTGACGAAAACTGGTAAGAAATAATTTTTTCAAGGAGATCAGGAACAATTTTTGAAAGTTAGATGCGTTGGGAAGTGAAAAATGAAGCATGTCTGGTCATTTTCACTCAAAATCATATTGGGCCATTTTCTAGTAGAAACCGTTTTCCATCCTTTCACAACTTAAGCGTTTGTTAGATTAAATTCAATCAACACAGCTCTTTTTATTCTCGTGCAACATTATAAATATCCATTAACATTAATTGTTGACTAATTTTTCGGATCTTTCATCAAAATATTGAGCAATGTATTTCCTTTAATAGTATACAATAACGTGAAAAATAGCAAAAACGTTTCCGCTAAACATATAAAATAGACTCGTCAGAAAATAAGGCCTCGGTATTCACAGTTCATGATAATATAAAATCTATTTGTTTTGTTGGTACAAAAAGTTAGAAAAATGTAGAACAAACGCGAACTTGTTTGATCATCAAATCGTCGTTTAGTCGTCATCCTCGTCGCCTTCCAATTCTTCTTCATGTTCCTCTTCACCCTCCTCAGCTGCTTCTTCTTGACTGGCCTAAAGTATACAAAGTAATAGTAATGATATATCGGCTCAGTGAAAACGTCGATATTAGATAAGAATTGTTGATTTTAGCAGAAGAATATAGATCAACTATATTTTCTTTGATTTTTTAAGCATCAAATTAAAGTAAATCTTAATTAAGTATTAATTAACGATAGCTTACTCTCGCTCGTGCTTCTTCTTCAGGTGATGGATCTTCTGTCTCACCAATATCAGGTCCATCTGCATATTCTGCAGCTGGTTCAGGTGGTACTAAAACAGTCAAGCATACATGATTGTAGCAACATTTCAACTATACTATCAGTGAACGAAAAAGAACTTACATTGTGGTCCATAATCAGTCATTGCGTATTTATGTCCCCAACCGACATATAAATTTTCCCAAATCCTAAAAAATTAGCGAGAAAGCTTAGATAGATAAAACATTGTTTCCATACAATACATACATTCCTCTCGCAAATGCATAAGCGCCTGGCCATAAATTACCTTAAATTAAAAGAAAAAGAATTTGATTAGAACTTATTACAATATAATGATAGATAATTAATTACTTACTTCTTACAAATGCACATGCATACTGCGGTATCAGTAATGATGATATTTTTGCTGTCCATGGTCGAGTACCTTCAATTTCGGCATCAGCACCTACAGGTGTCAGAAGTGGTGGTCCAGATTCCTTGAACACATTAAATATAAATTAGAAATTATTTTCAGATCTTAATAGTTTAATACAACTTACAGGTTCAATTTCTTCTGCTCCTTCAGCTAAAAATCAATGTAAAATTAGAGTTAAATCATCTAATCGCAAATAAAAATAAAAAGATGTATTTAAAAGTAACCTTTCATTTCCTCTTCTTCTTCTTCGTTTTCTTCTTCTTTCTCAGAGTCTTGTTTTGGATTCCACCATTTTGTTCGACCTTGTGGTAATATATGTTGTACATGATGTACCCAGCCGTTAAATTCTTCATCAATTAGTTCGGACAGTGCAGCACCTGAAAATTAAAGACTAAACATATCGTATTTTTTAAAAACGACAAAAATCTACCTTTAAATTCTTCATTATCTTGATAATTATCTCGGCCTAGAATTGCAAGAAACAAGAGTATGTTAGAGTGGAAATATAAGATCAAGCTTATTGCTGAATATAATGAAAAACGAAATAGACTCAAAAATATGTTTATAATAGAAGTGTTTCTCTTTTAAAAACAGTTTTCTCTTCGTAGAAAAAATATCAGATATATCAACTATTTTTCTTTGGCGTCGTTTGTTAATTTTACTTACCACCCTCTTCCTCGGCTTCCTCTTCTTCATCATTAAATTTGAATCTTCCCGCAGGGCTAACATGTGTTGTAGCACTGATTCGTGCAATTTGAGCTCGTAAATAATGTTTTTCCACTCCTGGATCTAAATTTAAGATAATTATGACATGTATGTCACATTACATACATATAGAAACCTACATGATGGATAAGAGGTTATTTCTCGATTTAAATCTCCAGTAAGAAATAATTTGATATTTCGAGCTTGTGATATTTGAGCGGGTGTCACTTGTGGAAGTTTTGTCCACGGCATTCCAGCTAAAAAAGAAAAGACACTAAGTTTTAAAAAAATATATCACAATATTGCACATTGTTTGAAATCGAAATAATACTCACGGTAATTGCAAACAAAATAAGATAACTTATTAACTAAAAAAGACCAGTTAAATCCACAATTAGATATTGAAATAACCAAGAATAAGTAAAACACTAACCTCCAGTGCCTCTCTCTTCCTTTGGAACTTCTTGAGGTGTTTTAAATGTTGATTTTGGTAGGGGATCTTCTTCCTAAATAATGATAATCAGTCATATCATAAATTGTCTTCATAATTTTTGTAATATAACAAAAAAAAATAGATTCACAACAAACCTGTTCTTGTTCTTCTTCTTCAATTTCTTTCCCATCTTCGCTATCCTTTTGTTCTTCTTCTTCTTCATCCGCCATTTCATCGTCTCCAAATTTCACCTTCAATTGAAAACATATTTATCAAAAATTTGAATCTCTAGTAAAAACAAAAAGAATACCTCTGCAATATAATAGTTTTTTTGAATTCCAAATATTTTGCCCCAAAATCGTACTTTTTCAAACTGATGTTTGTCTACTAATTGTTTCAATGCCAGCCAAATTCTAGTAAAAAGATTAAGCAGAATTTAAATATTCAATGTATCTTCTCGATATTCACAAACCTGTATGTTTCTTCACGTCCAAGACCGATGCCAGACTGTTCAAAATAATAGGCATATTCCAGCAGATTTGGTAGTGGTGATTGAAGTGCTTCATCATCAAGTTGATCTGCATTATCAGGTTTCTAAATCAAAAGATCACTTGCAATTAGTTTCATTTTATAATGTTTTCAATATAAGAAAATTTTTGACAGAACATTAACAATTTGTGTGATTGTTACCTCAAACAATGGTTTTTGTTCTTCAGCTAAACTATGTTCACTATCAGGTGCATCTCTATCTCGTAATGTATCGTGCTGTGGACGAGATGTTTCACGTTTTACATCTTTACTAATATCTTCAAATATTTCAGTCGAATTACGTGGTTGTTCATTGAGCAATCGTGTCAGACAGTGTGCGAGATGATCATATCTATATCAAAAAATAGTTAAAAATAAGATGAAATGTGGAACAGAAAAATTCATAGTAATATGTTTAATTTTCAATTAAAACAAATTCACGTACAAATTTATGCCGTCTTTGGTTGTTGATGCGAGAATGTAGGCTTTAGCATCGACAAATTGTTTTTCTATATCGCCATTTGCAGGTGATGAACTTTGGTTCCGAAAGTTATTTTGATCTAGAGAAGATTTAGTACATGATTTAGGTTAGTTTTGATGTACACAAACTTATAATATACCTGCTGAATTAGTGGAATTATACACGGCTGACGTCATTTGTTTTACTACAAACTGATACAACCGAATATTATGTGCAGTAAAACAGTAGTATCATCTGCTTCTGTATAAATTAAACTCGAACTTCTTGTTGTCATCTTGTGTCGTTAGATGAAAACGTTGCTAACCGACCACCTTCCATTTTTTGGTTGGATGGCGTATGTGTCGCTATTATTTCTCGAGACAGCAGTATAACGCCACCTTTCTACTTCAGCAATGACAGATCCATAGTCTTAAGCAAAATAACAGCCACCAACATTGGATTGGAGCGTAGAAGCCGTTAAAAGAATACAATACGATGATTAATATCGCATTTGTATTGAAGGAGGATGAAGCACAAGGCGACAATTTTTCTTTCAACTATCACAATTATCAATCTATATTTTCAGCTTGAAAAGCATTACTCGTCACGATTGTCGGAAGAAAATTTATTAGATATTTATTCTGACCGATGAAACATAGAATATTTTTTATACATAGGTTAGACTATCAAAAGTCAGTCAAAGAATTGTGACTTCTTAATTTCTATAATATAGTCTTACAGAAGCTAATTTAGCGATCAGTTTCAAACAGCGATTGTAGTGTAATCATATTTTATAGATTAAACAGATGTTACTAATTTGATAATCGGTCAACAATTGTCGAAACATTTATTGTTTTCTACCAAAAAAAGAAAGATTTAAAAGGTGAATATATCTTAGAATCAAACGTCCATGTTTGAGACAAAAATCTTTTTATCTCTTTTACATATATTATCTTCAGTTTGTTCACTTGCTTTTGTTTCCTATGTATATGTTTCAAAATTATCACTGTACAGGTGTATATACATGAATGAAGTAAAACGATAAATTTCTCTCTCTCTCCTCCCATCTAATTAATAAATAAGTGTGAAAATAATTTGTAAATACGATGGTTTGATCAAAGCCAATTGTTTTTAACATTATATATCTAAATCAAGTTATCCACCTGCCTTATTTGCTTTTTCTTATTGTGTAGATAATTAATAAGTACACTTTTGCCGACTCGATGAAACTGAGACATATATATTTTACCTCACAATTCATATATTTAAAAAAGAAAGACATACCGATTCGAGAAGATGACTAACAATCATTTTTTTTCTTTTTTCTTTTTGTTCACTATTCAAATCATCTTATTAAGTTGTCATCAATTGAAAAAAACAGCAAGAGGATAGCTAAACGAAGAAATTGGTTCTTTATATTTGTTTCTTATTGTAAAAAAGTTTTTCACATCAGTTTTCTAAAATCGCACATTATTACTCATGACCTTTTACTTGTTCAAAAATCGTTCATTGAGATTATGGTCTTTTCCAAATGTTTTGTAAAGCTGAGTAAGTGTGTAAGTGGGTGGGTTCATTTTCTCTCTCTCTCTCTCTCTCTTTCCTCATTGAAAATGATTACAGTTATTTCATCGTTGCTAATTCTCTATTCAAAATGAAGACAATGGTTTGAAATGTCTCTCTTAAACAAAGTTAAATATCAAGGATTATGACAGTGAGGCGTGTTGATGAACGATTATATTGACTCTCTCGCTCTCTCTTTCTTTCTCTCTATTGTAAACAGGTTTCTTTTTTATATTGGAATAAGATGGTGATTGAGCCATATTTATAGTAGATGCTTCTCTATTACAGATATTGAGTCAAAATATGTATTGTTATACATACATATATATACAGCAAAAGAAGATGTACCAAAAACTAAGAGAAAAAATAAATAAGTAACTTTATAAGTTTTGTTAGAGTTAATATAATATCGAAAGTTATGTGAACGTGATATGTTATATGACAACCTTCAAAAATCTTTTCATTTCTAATAAGGTCAATGTTTTTTTAAAAAGTAAATTTATGTAAAAAAAATAAATCAAAAATATATTATCTATTAAAATATGATGTGTCGCTGATGACTACCATTTTGATACATTATGTTTAATTTTCAATTATTTCAAGACTTTGATTTAAATGTTTTATTAATAAATAATATTAGAGAATATTATAAAAAAAGAAAAGAAATCAATGTTACTATATAAACATATATACTGTTAACGTATTTTTACTTCAATATTGAATTAGTCTATTCTCTTTCATGTTTTTTAATCGATTCTCTGATAGTGGTGCAATTGTTAATAACTATGTCATGTGAATAACAAATATTAGAGAAAGATGAAGTGAGTCAATTGATCAACGAATGATGGTACAACAAAAGATGGCAGGCGGCAATATTTCTTTTTTTTTTTCTCCATTTAAAAACTGAAATAAGAACAATTTTCTGTTTCATTAATAGTGTATATATAAATTCTTTTTTTTTTAGAATGATGTAATCACTTTGATGATCTCGCGCCTACCATGTTTAACAAATGATAGTTTACCTTTTTAAAACAAAAACAACAAGAAAATATATTTAGTATAGATCAATTTAGAAAAGTGTCATTTTCTTTTTAAAGTTAAACATGTAAACATCAATCTATACTGATTTGATATTTGAATGCAAAAAATGCCTACTAAAACATGCTTTATTTTAAAGATAAGTATCAAAAACAGTTGGTTATATAATTCATAAGAAAATAAAACTTTCGTTTAGATAGAAGACATACATCAAATTTATCAGTTTATTATATAGTCTTTTTAATAGTAGTCATAATTAATCTACTAAATATTTTAACTTTAAAATTTACAGTACTCTAGTAAATTCTGATAGTTGAAATATTTAAAATGCGGATAATAATTTTCGATATCTGACCAAAAAAAAAATGTTAAAAACTTAATTTACAACTTGTAATAGAAATAGTTAAGATTACTTGTCTCTCTTGATGGATATACCGTCTATACAAAGGTGAAAAAGAAATGATGATAATTAGAATTTGTAACAAGTATACTGTTGAACTTGTTGACTGCTACAACTTATCTATGTAATATGGATTAACACAAATAAACAAAATGACATCAGGTTTTTGTATATGTGTGTAAATAGATATCTACTCTTTTTAGTTATTGAACGCCGATATCTCACTTTAATTTATGCCGCCTAGAATTAACAGGGTTTATTAGTTATTGTTATAATGATGATGAACAAAAATATAAAATTTGATATTGTAAATGTACCTTTCTGCCTTTAACAATGAGAAAAGAAAATAACCCGATGTGATGAGCGCACCTTTACATGTCATTCTTTTTAAAAATAAAACTGAATAGAGAGAAATACAATTGTTTGTTGAGAGACAAAACAAATCCATTTTAATCGAGTAAAAACTTATCATTTACAACTTTAACTATATATCAATTCTAGTCTACAACTGTTCATTTGTGAAATTTAATCAAATAAATATTTCAAACATATAACTCAATGTTATATGCAATTTCATCTATATTAATAACATTATATCCATCGATATTTTCATATATTCTAAAGTATTTTTGATAAAATAATTAAGTTTTTAAGTTGTTTCTTATTTAAAGACGAATTTTTTAATTATCTTTACTTAACAAGTTAATTTGATGTCAAAATGGAAGAATTATTCTTATCATCATCATCATCATCATCACTCTTATGTATACACTATATCATATAACATATTTAATTCTAATTTACGACAGAGAGATCGAATACGTGTCAAGAATCGTTGATTAGAGGATAAAGAATTTGTTACAAAAAAAATTTCCATCAATTGAACTTTTCTTTTCGTTCATTTCGTTCGTACTTACTTATTTTTTTATTTTATTCTTTAATATAACAGGCTAAAGTCACATAAGAGGATTAAACATGTCATCACGCACATGAGTTTGGTTCTTAACTCACTTGTTCTTCACTACACACGTAAATATCTACAAAGCCGTTTTTTCAATAATAATACATAATCTTTGCTCTTCTATATACAAGATATATATATAGAAGATAATTACATGTAAAAAAGATTTGAGGTAAAGAGAAGATCAAATTTTATCGTTTACTTTTTTTTTCGTCAGGTAAGAAAATACTCAGATAAAACTTTATAAAATAAATCATTGTTATAAAATTTTGATTCAAAAAACTAAAAGTAAAATTTAGAGAAACAAATTCAATTCTTATTGTTGATATAAATCACATCGAAAGTTAGCAAACATTTCTTGATTCTCTCTAACAACAACAACATAAAAAATAGAAAGATCTTGGAACAATTTTTCCTAGTACAGTTTAAAATCAAAACTTGTCCTAATAATATCCTATAACGAAGTTTTTTCTTTTTCTGTTAAAAATAGGAAGTGTAACTGTTTAGAAGGAGACGAAAAAAAAAAAAAACACTCGCTATTCAACAATAAAGTGTATAGTTGATATTACTTTTCAGCTTGACAAACTTTGTATAATTTACTATAGAATCGATAATCATTTTAATACATGTCACAATAAACTAAATATCATGTACACACGAAAGAAGAAATTTGCATGCGTTCACCTGAAATGTATATACTAATACACTTATACAAGCTTTTCTCTCTATGTATAGAACAGTACATGTCTGAAACTAAAAGTAAGGTGTGTTTGTTAAATTTTTCTCTTATATAAAAAAAAAAAAAACTTAATTGAGTTGATAATTATTCCAAGATAAACTTTGACAGAAAATTATAGTCACTATAAAGTCATAGACGTGTGCATAAACCTTTAACTATACTATATATCCCTTTTGTTCTTTTTTTTTCTGTTTTATTTACTTCGACATACATTTATTAACAGGTAGGCGATTCCAAAAGTTATCTATCCTATTCACCTATCCAATCATTGAATGAAATATCTACATAATATAGCAAACATCCGCTCCTGCCTTTTGTCAGTATAATAAATAAAAAAAACAAAAAAAACAAAATATATATATATATGAAACTGAAAAAGAGAAATGAACGAACCACAAAATCTTATAGTTCCGATCTTTCTTTTGTCTCATTTATTTACTAAGTAACCAGTTGAATATAAATCAGTATAGCAATATACAGATGAATAAATGAAAAAAAA